AAAGTAAATTGAATAAAAATGGAAGTTGAATAAAAATAAAAGTGAAAGTTGCAAAAAATTAAAAATGGAAGTTCAATTCAGAAACCACTATACCTTAACGGTCTATTTAGAACTTAAATAAAAAAGGAAGTTGAACAGAAAAGAAACTTGAATAAAAAATGAAGTTGAATAGAAATAAAAACGAAAGTTGCAGAAAATTAAAAATGAAAGTTTATTCAAGAAACCACTATACCTTAACGATCTATTTGGAAGTAAAAAAAAAAAGGAAGTTTAATAGAAAAGTAAAATGAATAAAAATGGAAGTTGAATAAAAATAAAAATGAAAGTTGCAGAAAATTAAAAAAGGAAGTTCAATCCAGAAACCACTGTACCTTAACGATCTATTTGGAAATTAAATAAAAAAGAAAATTGAATAGAAAAGTAAATTGAATGAAAATGCAAGTCGAATAAAAATAAAAATGAAAGTTGCAGAAAATTAAAACTGGAAGTTCATTCAAGAAACCATTCTACCTTAACGATCTATTTGGAAATTAAATAAAAAAGGAAGTCTAATAGAAAAGTAAATTGAATAAAAATGGAATTTGAATAAAAATAAAAGTGAAAGTTGCATATAAGTAAAAATGGAAATTAAATCCAGAAACCACTATACCTTAACGATATATTTAGAAATTAAATAAAAAACGAAGTTGAATAGAAAAGTAAATTGAATAAAAATGCATGTCGAATAAAAATAAAAATGAAAGTTGCAGAAAATTAAAAATGGAAGTTCATTCAAGAAACCACTATACCTAGTCGATCTATTTGGAAATTAAATAAAAAATGAAGTTTAATAGAAAAGTAAGTTATAGCGATTCCGGGTTTACCCTTGTTGTACAGTGATCCGGACATGTGTCCGTGGATGTTGGTAGTTGATTATTGTCGTGTTTACATTCCTTTTTCTTCATATTTGAGTTATAGGATGTGTTAGGCAGGTTTGTTACAGGTTGGTTGTGTTCGGGAGCCTAGTGTTGCTGCCCAGAATTTTGGACCTTCGCTCGAGCGAGGAGTTGGTCGCTCGAGCGAGAGTGGGGTTCGTGTTTGGTGGGTGGAGCCAGAGTGGCTCGCTCGAGCGAGCGGTTGCACCTGGTTCTGGACCTGAGAGCTGTCTTTCTTGGCTCGAGCGAGCTTCCTTCGCTCGAGCGGTCTGGATTTTTCTTCGCTCGATCGAGAACTTCTTGGCTCGAGCGAGAGTTTTCTGTGTCTGGTCGCTCGAGCGACCAAGGCTTCGCTCGAGCGAGAGTGTTTTATATCAGCGGACAGTAGCGATTTTGAACTTCACTTTTTCACTTTCTTTTTCTTTCAAACCCTAGATCCGAGACCCTCTCTCTCTAAACTTACACTCTCTCTAAGAATTGATCCTCCTAGAGTGTGAATCTAGCCTAGGGCCTTTGTTAAAAAGATAGAGGGTTTGGAAAATGGGTAATAAAAAGGAAAAAAAGGTGAACCGCTTATAGCGTCGAATGAAATGGCTGTTTTCGAGAAAAGTTCATACTTATGTATATTTTGTATAAACTGCCACATTACTATTCTAGTATGAGAATGAACATTCATGATCATAGCTATCTGTAAGTTGTTATTGTTGGAGATCATGTTGAGATCCCTACTGGACTATATGTTCATCCCACGTTGTAGAATCTTTTTCAGGTGATAGCCAGGATGTTCTACAAGGTTTTGGATCTTTTTATTTGTTGGCCACGGGGCCTCTTTTGTGTTGACGGAATGCCATTTTTGTAAAAAGGGTTATACCCTTCTTGTAACGCCCTCAAAATAATAACATTAAACCCATCAAATAAGACATGCGTTGACATTTTTAATGATGTAAGCCCAAGGGCAATTTATTTAGTATACTCATATTGTATTTACTTGCATACGAATGAGAGCAATGTTATTCACTTCTACAAGTTGAATATACGAGTTTATTTCCGCATGTTATCTCTGAAATGGAATTAAGTAAATGAAATTGGTAATATTTCGAGTAATAAAAAGTGGGGCGTGACATATACATTCATATATATATATCACAGACATCCAAGCATAAAATTCAAAGTTGTATATGAAATATGATCAAATGGGTAATTTTATTTTATTTTATTTTATAATCTAAAAGTATATTATACATATAAAAGATCAAATTAATCACACGTCTGCAATCCTACAATCAAATTTTAATCGTTTTAAAAAAAATATCAATATTATGTTAATCATTTATTTTTTGAAAACAAATGTACTCTTATTACAAAACTATAAATGTTCAATCAATTTGATATTTTACATAAATTATCTACTCAACAAATCTTACAACATAAACGGTTTAGATTATCAAAAAAAAAAAAAAAAACCAAAAAAATATCACAAATGAAAAGTAATTGGGACTTGTAAGTCGTTTGACATAAATGTATGATTTATGTGATTGTATCAGTGTTGGCCATCTATCAATTGCTAATCTTTTAGTCATTGTTCATGGTTGGTTTAGTATATTTCTACTGGGCTGTGGCTCACCCTATATGGGAATATCATTTTCAGGTGCAGGAAGCATGCCACCTCCAAGGACATAGCTGGAGGCTAGAGGCGGACATACTTTTGTCGCCTAACTTTTGATGTATTACATGTAACTTCAAGCCAAGGGCTTAATGTGTAAACGAGTTAGTACTCTTTTGTTGTAACCAAGTCTTAACTTGGAAAGCTGTAAACCCGTAGGGCATTTTGTTTTGATGATAACATGTAATACTTATGTAATGGAACTCTAAGGAATAAAGGAATGGGGTTAGTTTATATGTCAATGCATGTCTTATTTGATGGGATTAATTGTAACGACCCTCACCTTACTCTTGCCATACTTGCATACATTCTTGCATGGTCTTGCTGCTTATGTTAATTTAAAGGTTTTATCTTGGCTTGATTTGCTTAAGTTGCTTGCATGATTTTGTTCCTTGCTTAGTGCGTGTGCGTAGCCGAGATCATCTTGAGCTTAGTCTGCCTTTGAACCTTATACTCAGAACTATCTTGAGGTCTTGTTCAACCCCATCTTCACCTCGGGCATTCTTTGCCGAGATGTTCCGCACTTGAACCTTGTCCGTTTCACACAGATGCTACATATAAAATCCAAATACGTTAGGCCCCGTTTGTTTGAGGTTATGGGGAGGGGATTGAGTTTGATAGTGATGAGGGGATTGAGAATAGGGTATTTGTTTTGAGAGATAAGGGATTAGCAATCCCTTAGTATTAGTAAGGAGGAGGAAAGGCGATTGGTAAAGAGGAGATAGATATGGTATTAGAAAAATAGTGAGGAGATTAGAAATTTTTTTATTTTTTATATATTGGGAATTTTTTTTTAAATATAATGTTTATTTTTTTATATTTTTTTATTTGTTTTATTATTTTATATAAAAATAATTTAACAATTCATCACTATTAATCCCCTCACTATCAATCTCTTCACTATCAATCCCCTCACTATTAATCCTCTCACTATCAATCCACTCACTATTAATCCTCTCACTATCAATCCCCTCCATTCTATCTCCAAAACAAACGGGGCCTTAAGGAGTTTAAAAGACAATAACCATCCTTTTACCGCTATGGACTGGCAAAGACGAGAGCGAATGTTCAGAACACATCTACGGCATTGTCATCTGAAAATAATTAAGATAATATTGAATATATAATATATAGGGTCATGCTACGTCGCTCGAAACTGAGCGACCCCTAATCCCCTGAAATTTTATTTTATTTTATTTTTTTCAGAAGCAGGGGAAGGAGGAGGAGGAGGAGGAGGAGGAAGAAGAACTGGAGGAGGCCATCAAAATGGAAGGAGGCGGAGGCGGAGGCGGGGCTGGGCAGAGGCTGCGACGGCGGGGCGGCTGGGCAGACGACCGACGACGTCGACAAGCTGGGCGACGACGGCGACGGGCTGGGCTCTCTTCTCTCTATCTCTCTCTCTCTACTCCCCTCTTCTCTTCTTTCTTCTTTTTTTTTTTTCTTCTTCTTCTTCTTCTTTTGTGAGTTACTACGAAGGAAAGAGAAAAGAAAAAAAAAAAAAAAAGGCCAAAACGACGTCGTTTTGGCCATTAGGGGGATTCGGGAAGAAAAATTTCGGGGGACAAATCATTATTCATAATATATATACTTGTTACATTATCAACAATTGTCTTGATAGCTTACTAGTTTGAGTGCTTATTTTTTATGCACTTGTTCCATGTTCAAGCCCTCCCCACAACATATTTTTGGAAGAAACTTCAATTCTTCAAACCTGGCCGGTTCGTACGTCGACCCGTGACCGATTTTCCAGTTCAAACCTCAATTCCTCCAACCCGGCCGGTTCGTATGTCGACCCGTGACCAGTTCGCTGGTTATTCCGATTGAACCGGCGGTTCTTCCAGTTTTCAAATTCTAAGCCGATTTTGAGTATAGTCCGGGTTTGGAGGACCATCGGACCAGAACTAGGTCCAGTCACCGGTTCTACCGGACCGACTGGCCGATCCTGTCCGGTCCGAGTTTGAAAACATTGGAGAGAGAGAGAGAGAGAGAGAGAGAGAGAAGAACATGTAAAGGTTGAAAGTGAAGGTGGCTAATAAATTTAACACGTAAAAGCTCTGCTGTGTCAACTGTTCCACTTAAGGTTGCTTTGACCTAAACTCAAGGATTAATAATGTAGAAAATAATTTTAAGAATTATTAGCCTACAATTTGTTTGAACATCCCCATTGAACTTGCTCCTCATGGGCAGAAACCATCTATTCCAAGAAAAATTAAAGGAGTCAACCTTTAGAGGCTGCAACGGAAGTAATTATTCACAATAACACTCTCATCAAAATATACTCATCTTGCAAGTGCCTTTTCTCAAATTTGGAAGGGATTAAGGGAGCTAGATTTTGGAATAATAGTATCTACTAGGACAAAATGTATCTTATATCTCACAACAGAAAGGTTAGAGAGAACATATGAGTGATAATTGTGAGAATCAACCAGCAAATACTAATATTTTCACACAAAATGCAGCTAGAAATGACAGCATAAAAGGTTTAATGGATAATCTAAACAAAAAAGGGAGCACTGCAAAAGTGGATTGACAAACATACCCCAGCAAGCCATGGCCCTGCCACGCTCTAGGTGTGACTGTTAAGTTGATAAGTGCACCTTGCCTCAAAACCACTACACGTATTTCTCGGTCTTGATTGGACAGAGCTTCAGAAGCAAGCTTTGCAACAAATCATCACCAGATTCATATTCCCGAATTTCACAATTTGATCTCCAAGTTGTAAGCCATCTTCAGGTGCTGGAGAAGCCTCGGCTATCTCATCAACCAATGCAAATGGTATGTTGACAGTTACATCAACATCCATGGCACTGATAGTATTTCCATGAAGTACATTGTGGGAGGATGCAGATGTACCAACATTAACAGATAAGTCTTGATTATTTGACCCTTCAACGTTACCTTACAAATATAAAGAAGAAAAACAGTCAATTAGTTGCATATAAAATTCAAATTTTAACTACATATCCCACACAAAAAAATCCTTTCTAAAAACTGTAACAATAAAGTATTTCAAAACTTGACTCAAGAACACTATACCATTCCACTCATTTCAAATATCAAATTGTTGCTATAGAAGGAACTTATTCATTGAAAAACAATAGTTGTAAGCAATACCTAGGCCCTGCTCCCAGAGCCTAGGATGTCTAAATAATGGCAATAGAGATGGTGGTGTTATATAGAAGTCCTAGCTAGGACGTTGTAGGCTATGTTATACGAACTCGAGTATTGGTTTTGGGTGCGAGTGCATATTTAGAGATCGAACCCTTCAAACTTCAAATTTAAGGATACACTCATTTTTTTTTATATTTTTAATCTACTATGTGAGATAAAATAATGTTATCAAAAAGGCATTTTACTCATTTTATAGCAATTATACAACAATACATATAATGATAGTGTTAAATACAAATATATAAGAAGTGCCAAATGAAAAGTTATCAAACACATATCTCACACCCTTGTCGAAGTGCTCGGTGTCCAATACGAAACACAGCCCAAAAGTTTTAGGGGGAAATTGAGAATCTACCTTGGATATTTGACGTGCATTCTCAACAATGGCACATAATTTGAGCTCTGATAATAGCGAGCTTGCTGTGCTTCCAGGTGCTGCTATCTTCTTCTCACTAAATTTTGCCACAGAGATAGGATCAAAATCTGCAAAGACTTCTCTGCATAAAGGAAATTGTTATAAGAGAAAGCTAAGCAGGGGCACCATGCTGAAGAAAGGACTAGACAATATAATATAAAATTGGAACAATAATCTGTCATTTTCTTAAAAGAAACATAAATATTTTATAGGAACAGTACCTGAATGTGTGCCTTTTGTTGAGAATCGTTGGCCATGTAAGTTCAGCAAAAGCCCCCGAAAAGATGAGAAGCTCAAACAATTTCCTGCAAGTAGTCAAGACTATAATGCAAACCAAGAAAACTGTCACATGGAACTCTATTTAAGAAGATAGGCTTTTGGAATTGATAAAGGTACATGAAAATGAGTTGAGCGCACATACTTATCATCATGTACAGGGAGTCCCCATTCTTCATCGTGGAAAGCAGCATAACGAGGGTCTGGTTTGAAAATATGAAAATTGATGAGCAAATAGTATTAAGAGGAAAGTAGCCAGAGCATCAATCAGTGGGAAAACGCACACACACAAGCACAAAACAAAACAAAAAATAGCGACAGAAGGTAGAGTCAGGGCATCTAGGTGATAACTAGCTGTTTCAGCATCCTGAGTTGGGCCGGATAAGGCATGGCCTAGATGGGTCCGAGCAAACTTTTTTACCTCAATGAAAGTATACCAATACAAACAAATTATTGAAACATTTAACAGAATACCAAGATAATACAATAGAAAGCACCATTGTTTTTATCTAAAGTGCTTGTGCACGTGAAAGGATCAACTTGATGTTTAAAAGAAACAACAAAACTTAAATCTAGATTTCACAAGTCATCAGATAAAATTAGTACAAGACCAAATAGCAGAGCTTCCATCACATAACATAAAAGTGCAGTACCCGCATCAAGAGTATCTTCACAACCATAAACAATTTTGAATATTTCATCACATACAATCAACAAAAGTACAGCTGAATGGCCCAGATTTAAAAACTACACGAAAAAACGAAAAAAAAAAAAAAAAAAAAAAAAAAAAAAACATTAGAATGCAGTAAATGCTCTTGTCAATAGGAAAAGATAAACATGGTGAAAGGTTGGAAATGAAAACATTATTCTTGTTCATTTGATTATTCATTACATTTAACTAGTAGAAACTTTTAAGAAGTATCCAGTAATACATGTGATAGGATACACCACTACAAACAATCCATTGCCCACCATAAGCTGGGATGAATGTGAATTAAACCAAGGGCACTGCATCGACACACCACTTTCACAATACAAATCAAGAAGACAAGAATTGTGTATTATCACCAACTAAATTCCAATAGCTAGTCATGTCAAAATACTGCACCATTGCCTTCAGCATAAATTTTAGCATTTCATTACATAGTGAATCCAAGTCATGATTCACTCAATTGGTCACATTTCAAAAACGATACATTAAATCATATATATATACACGGTTTTATAAAAGGTTTAAAAAAATCTGCTGGTAGGTCAAAAGAAGTCGAGCTTTCACATAAAGCTATATTACAATTACAAGGGCAAAAATGTTTTTTGGCCCATAAAGTGGCCCCTTATAGCTTACAGATGACTGTAATGAGTAGCATGAAGATGATCAAAGCTTATGTGCAACTACCAAAATAAATAATGACCAGTCAAATAAAAGTTTATGACATCATCTAAGGTTCCAAAACCAAAAAGGCAATTTTAAAATACAAATGTGTGATGTGCTCCAGAAGCCAAGTAAGGAGCATTAAAAAGAAAGACCAGTAAAATGCAGTCAATAAAACAAGACAGACAGAAAGAACATTTTAAGAACAACCAAATGCATTTGAAACTCTTAAAGTAGGATAAATTGAGGAGGTCTGGTAAAGACAAATGACAATGAAAATTTTGAGAGATGATAAAATAGTATCCAACAAAATGCTACTAACAGAAAAAAAATGATTTCCTCCATTGCCACATAATGGAAATTTCCATGGGATATGGTGTAATGCGTGAATAAAAATATTATATTGCATTTAGATTGCTTACCTTCAAAACATGGGAAGTAAAAAACCACAAAAGTTGCATGAATTCAAACTTCTTAACCAAAAAGTTCAAAATTAGCACTTTGCACTTTCAATATGAAGCAGACAAATAAGATGAAATTAAATCACACATCTATTTGCAAATATACCATAGATCATGATGCATACAAAGAACTCAACCAATACATTGGCCATAGAGCAACAGGCTAAGAATTCTAAACAAATGGCATACCAGCTACAGTCTTACCAAGTAGTGTTCAATACTACAATGGCAAATAATGCTTTTTTCGTAAAGTATCAAAAAGAAAACTACAACTATTCAATAAGACATAAATTAAAATAAATGAAATCTACTTTCTTCAGACAAGACTAACAACATAGAATGTCAAAGACATACTCATCACATTATTACAAAAGATTAGATTCAGCATTAGTCTCGGTTCTGGGCTCATGTTGACCCAAGCCAAGCCTACATTAAACAAAACATGTGTTCCATGAAGATCTTAATACCACCATGGCACATATTATGCAAAGTGTTGCCCAATGTGGCTTAATTCTCAAAAACAAATTCAATATAGTCCTACACCATAATTCAACAGATTGGCCAAGTACCTTCATTTTAATATATTAAACAGCAAAATGAAAACAAAACCATGTTGCTAGCCTATTAAGAGCAGCTTCTTTCATGTGTCAAAATATGCCTAGCCAGAAAATTACCAGTATTGATAATTTCGTCGTGAGAAATCAAACATCAGTACACATACTTTCAACAAATCAAACCAAAAAGAACCTACCAGTATTTGGTGTCACCCAGGCACACCTTTTCTTCGGTTGTAAGCTGCCAGGTAGAGCCTCTGAAAAGGCATCAGATACACTTATTTTTGACTTCATGGCCAATTGCTTCCTATGGATGGGCATACTATTTCTCCTATATATCCTACCAGTTGATGCACGACTATGAAATGAATCCGAAGATGCATCAGACGAACACGAAGCATTGAGTGATAAATTAGAATGCAGTAAATGCTCTTGCCTACTAAGTGCCGACGGAATACTAACTGAATGCGACAAAGGTATCAATGGTGAAGCAACAGTGGATGATGGAAGACCATTACTCTCTTCTGCCAATGCCGCAACCTCCTCTAGCGAATTCTCTTCAGTTCTCAGTGTCTTCATCATGGGTTTACGTGCACTCCCCAACCTCTGTACCTTGTTACCCGCAGGTCCAAAGACCGGTCTGGCCTCCGAACCAGCCAAGTTTGATGATCTAACTCTTGGAGCTCCTGACATCTAAAGAAACCCCTTCAGTTCTACACAAATCTCTGTCAAAGTTCCCCAAATCTTCCACATCCACCAGACTTCAGGTTTAGTTCATTCAAATGTTCAATAAACATAACGAAACCCTAACAATCATTCAAAACCCATCTTCTTCTCAGAGCTACTACCAATATAGATTTTGAGCTTTTTGGACCTCAAATTACCAAATTAAACAACCACCAACCCAGAAGCACATACAAAACCACCCAAAACTCACCACCATTCATCCACCTCAATCTCAGAGCTCCCCAACAAAAGATTTCAACCCTCAAAATCAGCACATATTACACTTTTCACTGTTTCTAGAACGCAGTGAAACCCTCAAAATCACATCAAACCGCCATTTCCAGAGAATTTAAACTTCAAATTCCCTCTCGAAACCCCAGAAAAAAAAAATATATATATATATATATATTATACATTGAAATCTGTCAAATGAAACCTACTTTTTGACCAAAGCTAGGGCTTCCAAAACCCTAATATATATACATATCTTTGATTATACACAGCTCATTTGTATATAGACAGCTGTAAGGAGATTCCAAATGGTATGTAAAGAAAGTTCATTTCAATAATGAGGTCTCAGAGAGCCTCGAAACGTAGAGATACCATTGTGCATTGCATTAAAAAAATAAAAATCTAAGCTTTTTTATTGTGAGTGTAAAGATCGAACTGGGACTGTCTTAGTGCTTGCTTTTTTATTTTACAGAGAAAAAAGCTGACAGTGGTGATAATAATAATAATAACAATAATAATAATAATGAGAATTTTCTCATGATATTTTCCCGGAAAGCGGAAGCAGGAGACAGAATGTGGGAAAGTGGGTCTGGGCTTGGAGGAACGTACCTGGGAGAGAGAGAGAGAGAATTGATCGAAAGAGAGAGCAAGAGAGGAATCAAAAAACAGAGAGAGAACAGTGTGACCTGAGAGAGACTGTGTGAGTTTCTCTTTCTAGATTTGAAAGAGAGAGAGAGAGAGAGAGAGAGAATGAGTGAAGATTGGGGATTTCATTTTGTCCATTTATTTTCGGGTAAATTACAAACACATCCTCTGAATTTACTTAAATTATAAATTAGTTATTATGATTTTAGAAATTACATTACATCTCTAAGGTTTCTAATTTCATAATAAATATGTCTTTTTATTAATAAATTCTCAAGTAAATTAATAGTTTTTAATAATCTTAAAATTTTATTTCAATTAATAATTTAGATAATTTTATTATTATATACGTGAACAGTGACAAATTTTACTTTTTTAATTAGTTCTGTTAAATGAAAAATTCTGACAGCGACGTATTTTTAATTTTTCAAACCACATAAGACAATTCGTATTTTAAGCAAACCTCAGGGGGTGTATTTGTAATTTACCCTTTATTTTCAGATAAATTACAAGAAAAATGTTTAGTAACTTGAATTTGTATGGCTCGAATGGCTTGAATATATCAAAACGACATCGTGTTATCCTCAAAATGATGTTATTTTGCGATATTCGAATCATTCGGGTCATAAAAATTCAAGCTACCAAGCATTGTTGAAATTACAAATATAGGTTTACTTAAAATATCAATTATTTTTTTGGAATAAATTATAAATACATTATGCAGTTTTTAATTTTATAATCACGTCTTTTATTAATAAATTATCAAGTCAATTAACAGTTTTTAATGGTATTAGAAATATGTTTCAATTAATAATTTAAATAATTTTATTATTGTATAAGAGAGCAATTATGAACTTCATTTTTTTATTTAATTCTATTAAATAAAAAATTATGACAATGAAATATTTATAATTTTTCAAATCACAGGAGTAATCTGTATATTAAGCAAATCTCAAAAGATATATTTGTAATTTACCCTTATTTTTTATAGTTGAAGAAATTACATCTTGCTCCTTAAAGTTTCAAACTCAAGGTTCCTTTTTTTTATTAATAAATTATCAAGTTCATTAATAATTTTAAAATTATTATAAATTTATTTTAATTAATAATTTTATTATTATATAAAAAATTAATTATAATTTTATTTTTTCAATTAATTTTGTTAAATAAAAAAATTTGAAAAGATTTATAATTTTTTTAATTTTAAGAATAATTTATATTTTAAATAAACTTTTAGAATGTATTTCTAATTTATTCTTTATTTTATTACATGGTGACCGGATGATCCAGTTTTTGAGATCGTAGATTACCGGCTATATCCGGTTTGGATTTTTTGAAAGATTGTGTGAATTTATGGTTTATTAGATTTTTATTTTGGGAAATTTTTTTTAAGATCCCTAATAATAACAATTTAAAGGATAAATGACACCCAAAAAGATAGTGATGCATCAGGTCCCTGAACTACTTGGCGCGCGTTTTTAATTATTTTGTGGACCAAAATACCCTTGCCAAAATCAACACAGAAACAAACTCATTCCGACGTCTGAGTTCCATTCCAAACATCCAGCATCTTCACGAACAGGAAAACAGCAGAATTAGGGTTTCAACATCATCTGCACCATCGACATTAGAGCTTCGTTATCTTCTCCAAAAATCATTCCCATTCCTTCCTCACAAATTTCTCTGACCTAGGTTAAAGCTTCGTTTTCACTGCTCATCATCATCTCAGTCCATCTTCGTCACGTCGCATCTTCATCACGGGCCATATCAGCTCATCATTCAAGTTTCATCCTAACTCTGGTCAGTTTTTCTACAATACAACTAGATTTTCTCTGGAAACACAGTTAATAGCATTTTATAATAACCTTCCATAAATTAGGGTTTCAATTTCGTAATAAAAAGCTACCTGAATGTGGAAAAAGTTATTTCTGTGTGTTTTGAACTTATTCTTGAACATGTTTGTGTGATTTTATCTGTAAATTTCTCTGGCATTTGAATTTCTCTGATTTTTGCTTAATGTAATTTTCTTCTTTCAATTTTCTCTGGCAAGTTTATTTTCACAACAATTTTTTGTGTTTTTATCTTATTCTTGAACATGTTTCTGTAATTTTGTCTATAAATTTTCCTGCTCTGTAAATTTCTCTGTAATATGTATTTTTAATTGGAATGTCTATCTTTCTCTGGAATATCTATTGCTCTCTTGCCTCTGTCTAAGTTTCTCTGGTATTTATAATTTTCTTTGACCACATCACATCACTTTCCTCCCTTGTGTGTCTCTATCATTTTTAATTTTCTCTAGAATTTTAATATTATGGACTGGAATGAATGTTTCTTCTTTGAATTTTCTCTGCCATGGGTATTTTGAGAAAAAGTTGTTTCTCTGAATTTTGATCTTATTCTTGAACATGTTTCTGTGATTTTGTCTATGAATTTCTCTGGAATATGTATTTTTCTCTGCAATGTCTATTACTCTCTTGCCCCTGTCTAAGTTTCTCTGGTATTTATAATTTTCTCTGACCACATCACACCACTTTCCTCCCTTGAGTGTCTCTATCATGGTTAATTTTCTCTGGTTGTGTATGTAAATTTCTCTTGTATTTTAATATTATGAATTGAAATTTTCTCTGGAATGGAAATTTCCTCAAGAATGTGTAATTTTCTCCAGAATGTGTATTTTTCTCTGGTATGTTTATTTTGTTCAATTCTTGATTTCAATAGGGTGTAATTCTCAGTGGCATGTTTACATTACTTTGTTTATTTTATCTTTGCTAATTGTGGAATGGAAATTTTCTTTCGCTTGCCGTGTTTACTTTTTTCTATCATTCATTTTCTCTGGTATGTCTACTTCTATATGTAATTTTAACCATTATTGAAAATTTCTCTCCTATGTTTATGATGCTATGTTGATTTTCTCTGACATTTAATTTTTAATGTCCAATTTTCTCTGGCATGTCAAATTTTCTCTGGCATGTCCAATTTTCTGTAATTTTCCCTTATCTGTAATTTTCTCTGGCATCTCCAATTTTCTCTTCTGTAATTTTCTCCCTTATCTGTAATTTTCTCTGACATGTCCATTTTTCTCTGGGATTTAATGTTGACATCTTTATGTTTTAATCATTGTCTAGAAATGGCAAAACGTAAAAGCAGCGAAACACCGGAAACACCAAGCAAAAAACAGAAACTCTCTCAGTCTTCTTATGGACTAAGATAAAAAACCAATAGCAAAACACTACAAACACCAAGCAAGAAAAAACAACTCTCTCAGTCTTCTTATCATCTAAGATAAAAAAACCAGCAGCAAAACACCACAAACTCCTCCCCAAAACACACAAGTCCAAGTTGATGAAGCAACTAGCATCCAGATGAGTACCCCAACTTCAAAAGACTCAAGCTCAAGGGGGAAAAAACCTCTTAAACTCCACAAAAAGAGAGCTCACTACAGCATTCAATTCCGATCCAACCTCTCATCTGTCGTCTCCTTTTTTCAAACACTTAAATTCAATTCAAAACATCTTCTAGAGCTTCAAAAGACCCCATTCTGGTATTTGATCCAAGCTCTAACCACTGGAAGGATGGATCCAAAGAAATCTAGGAAATCCGATGATGATGTAGTTGCCATAATCCAATATTACAATGAAAAAACAAAAGCATTCACAGTTGGGAAGAAGAACCTGACCTTTACAACAAATGACATGACCTTGATTTTTGGTTTGGAAGGAGGTAAAGGAGCCATGTCATTAAGATACTCTAAAAAGCCAAAATCTGCATTCCTCAGAAGAAGATTCCAAAAGGACACAAGGCTCACTGGTCCTGTTCTTAAAAATGCCTTGGTCAAAGCAATGAAAGGCAAGCAACCAACTGACTTCAAAGATGTAGCAATCATTGTTACATTGTACTTGTGTCTCACCCTATTTTTTGCAACAAGTGGGAATTCAATAGGTTGGGTTTTTATAAAGTATGTGGAACCTCTTGAATCAATGAAACAGTATGATTGGCCGGAAGCAATCACATCAACATTGATTGATTCTATCATGGCATTGCACAAAACTCCAGAAAAAGTTACGGGGTGTGTCATTGCATTGCTGGTAAATATAATATCCATTCAAATTTGCAGTTATCATACTTACAAATTTGTACGTGTCATTGCATTGCTGGTAAGTATAATATCCATTCAAATTTGCAGTTATCATACTTACAAATTTGTGCGTTTACAAAATTTTATTTACTTTCATTTTCATCACAGTATTGGCTATGTGAACATGCAACTATCATTGACTCGGAAGACAGTAACACAACTGACTTCCCAAGATGTGCCAAGTGGAACCTGCAAACCTTGACGAAACAACTGCAGAAGACACCAGTCCACTTTCTTGCACCTCGACAGGTTAGATTCCTATTGCTACTGAAATCTCAGTGAAATTCCAAAATTTCTCTAACCACTGCTTTGTTTCCCTCCTTGTGCATTGATTGATTAAGATCAATTTTCTCTGAACTATCAATTTATGTTTCCTTCTTTGCTTACCACTGGTCTATTTCTGCCATTGTAATCAATTTTCTCTGCCATCCAAATTTCTCTGACCACAATTGTAACACATTAACTTATATGCCCTGATTGATTTTCTCTAATATCTGAATTATGTTGGTTGTTTCATAATTTTCTCTGGCCCATCAAATTTTATCTCCTTGTGTGTAATTTTCTCTGCCCATAACTTATGTGCCTTGCATCTTTGATAAACGCTATTTATTTCTACCCTTCTAATGAATTTTCACTGGAATTCAAATTTCTCTGACATAATTATAGTAAAACATTAACTTATATGCCTTGATTGATTTTCTCTTATATCTAAATTATGTTGCTTGTTTCATAATTTTCTCTGCCTCATAAAATTAACTCCATGTCTCTAATTTTCTCTGGCCCATACAATTTTCTCTGAAGTTTGTTTCCTATTAGTTTCATT